AAACAACACATTAAAATTGACGATTTATCAATTCCAATCGAGGTTAACATTATTAATAATAATAATTATTATTATTATTATTATTATCAAATCATTCAAATTTATGTTATTGACATAAATATTAGGAAATTCTTTCTCAAATTTTCAGGCTAACAATTAAGCTTAATGAATATACCAATATGTAAATATATATACACACACACTCTTAAAAATAATAATAATAATGATGATGATAATAATAATAATAATAATAATAATAATAATAATAATGATGATGATGATGATGATGATGATGATGATGATGATGATGATAACAACAACAACAATAATAATAATGATAATGATAATAATAACAATAACAATAATAATAATATTAATATTAATAATTAATAATTAATAATAATAACAACAACAACATTATGAGGCCATTTGGTAACACTATTTTCGGCTTATCAGACTTATCAGCCAATTTTTTCACCAAACATGTAACTTTTGTTTTTGTGTAATAATAACAAAAAGTTAAGGTGAAGTTACTTTTGTGGCCGAATTGGCTATTTTTACATATAATTTTTCTTTATTGTATCAACAAAATATATTTTAAAAATATATTTATCTTAAATCAGCAGAATCAACCAATTGAGCCACTACAATAATACCCAGCCCAGCACAATAATACAATACCAGACCCATTCTCAACCCATTACACATAACCCAGCCCAATAACCTAACCTAACCCAACCCGTCCTATATAAACTCTCTATACCCACCGTTTTACGCATTTGTTCAGCAGCTAATTCAACAGACCATCGGCTACTCCGATGGCTGCATACCTCGTTTTCTCTCGTTTTCTCTCACCCTCTCTGTATTATTATGTTGAACCTCCCTTTGGCGGATGTTTTGTAAACGGTGGCTAAAGTCACGCATCTGCATCATATGTCCATGGTTTGGCCGATGTTTCATTACTGCACCACTACTACGGCGACAAAGACCGAGTAAGGATGTAAACACTTCAGACCTCATGTCTCCTTGATTTCGGTATTTCCCCCTTTTTTTATGTATTCATTTTATTTTATACCAAGGCTGAGTGATACCTAATGATCTCAGACCTAATACTGCTAACTGCTTCGCACTTTCATGTCAATTGGATAATAAGATTCCAATTTTGAAGCACAGATCTATACGATTTTAAACGAAAAGTTGTGGATTGTTTTAGATCTCTTATTATTCTGGTATTTTGTTTTTAAACCGGCAGGTCATCTGTTTAATATGATAATGTTGAATATTTAGAGTGTGTTGGTATCTTTAGTTTGGAATTTGTTGTAGATCCATACCAAATGAATGACACGAACGCTGAGTGATGATTAGCAAAGGATCTCAGATGTATTCAACCGTATTTGGATTTCTCCTAAAAAAAAATTTGTATCAGTTATTTACGAAGGCTGAGTTATATTGAATGATCTCAGACCATATTGATATATGTCTTTTACTTGCATTTTTTTAATTAACACTTTGCCGAATCAGATCTATACAGTTTGTAATCAAACAATAGTATTCAAAGATCTACAAAGGCTGAGTCAAATTTATTTTATAAACTGTATTTTTTATTTGTGTACTTCTGGAAATGTTCGGTTTCAAAGCTTGTTGTTGAGTTCATATATTTTATATGCTATCTTGACACACTACATGGTTTTGAAATTAATACATCCATAAATGGTGTTTATCAATTCTGTTATCTGTATTTGTGACTCTGGACTATTGAACTTATAAATCAGTTCAGACAATATAAACATATAAAACTACCTTTGTTGGTCAAGTCTTCAAGCTTTCTTTTTCTGTTGATTGTGATGCTTTTGGTGATCCTCTTCATTGAAGAGCTGTTAGTAAGTTGGCCAATTCTATATGCTGTCAGATTCCCTGCCAGCCACTTAAGTGGCCTCCGGATCTGCGTGGTCTGGCAGTCATATATGGCCTTAATACATGTAACCTAACCCATGCCATACATTCCAGTAATGTAAAGTAAATAAAACCTCACATTTCAACAATTTTTTCAAAAACATCTTTGCATTCCATATAGTTTGGATTTCAACATGTACTGAAAAACCTATGAAATGCATAAACTTATATATTCATCAAACCATTCTTCAGTTGTGTTTCTTCAAAAAAGCATATGCATACAACCATCAACATAACATTACATTACAATCATTACATAGAATACAAACATGGCCTAGGATTATTTGAGATCATAAATGTCACACAATTTGCAAAAAACAAAACAGCTTGGCTCTTACATATCCCACAAAAACCATAAGCATATTTCATGTACATAGTATGCATGAATACAGTCATGCCATTTTAAGCCAACCAAAACTCATCCCCACAGTGACGTTTTCATTGAAGTACTTGTAGTTGAGTGTTACAGACCGACCTGATCTTCTAGGTATTATAGGGCCTGCATCTAGGCATTGTTGACATTGTTGGCATATGTAATTCCCAGTATACCTTTTCTTGTTTAGAGGCCTCATGCAGTAAAAGTGACCTAAATTTTTATTACACCAATAGCATGGTACCAACCAAAACAGCCCCGGGTGTTTTCCACATGCATGACATTTTGGAGCATTGCATTTTGAACATGAACAGCACCTCATCTTAAACAGCAAAGTTCAATTTTTGTCATTAAGTTTTTTAGAAAATAAAAGTATTAAAACTGATTTCAATTTTTTTCATTATGTTTAGCATAAAAAAGATTTCACTGGTACTTATATCATTTTTAGATCATTTTGTCATTCAAAACCATAGTAGAAATCATACCTTAGGTTTGTGTAGAAATATCAATGCTCAGACTTTATACTCGAAACAGTGGCAGCCTGCTTTGTTTAGATGTTATGGTTGAGCTGAGTAAATGAGTTTCTGAGCCGGGAGTAAATGCATTTACAATGGTATATATGCACCCAGACTGCAGTAATGGTTATTGACCACTAGTAAGTAATATTTGCTATTAATTGTGATATGTACCTGCTGCCTGTGCTCATTTAATGAGCAGACCTACACGCCATCCTAGTATTGGGATCCTGCAGGTTGGTTCATTTAATGCGAGCAGACCATGTGTAAATGTATTGAAAACATGTTTTAAAATGTTATTAATAAAAAATGCCTGCCGAAAAAAGATTTTCATAATTATAAAAATCATGTACTTGGTTTGTATCCTTGTTTCCTGTGTATGCTTTTATTAAATGTGCAGACCTAACTATCATCCTATTTCCTCTGATTTGATAGTGAACTGGTATGTATTTAATGCCTTTCTTATCACTATGTACTCCTAAACACAGTAAGTCACTATATATTATTACTTCTTAGTGGTTAATTCTAAATACGGAGTATTCCTTTACAAAAAAGCAACTGCACTTGAAATTTAATTTTTTGAGCAAACATCTTTTATTATACAAAAATCATATATACGGGACATTCTATGTATAAATTATGTTTATTATGTCAAATGATTTGTCAAGTATTACGTACATTGATGCTTCACAATAACCATATGATTGTTTTAAATACGATATTGCCGATTTTTAACAGTTTGGTTTAAATCAACAACTTCATTTAAGTCTTTATGATTTAACAGATTGGTTATAACCAAATGATTCAATCTACGTTTTTTTGTAAGAATATTACTTTGAATAAACCTTTTTACCTTCAAACTCTTATATGGCCTATGAATAATTATTAATTGGAAAACCTTGGCATTTCAAATCAATTGGATGCCTGCGCCCGCATATCTAGGCCAAAAAACTGCTCAACAGCTGCTTTTGTAACCATGTACTTCACAAATTTTAACTGAAATCATGTTTACGTGCTTCAATAAGTGTTCTCTACTGAAAATTATGACTCTGTTAATTCTCCTTCCTTGATTTAAAAATATATATACCTCATTTCTTTTCTAGCAATAACATAAAAGTCCATTTCAAGAAATGATTGGTTTGAGAAGTTTCAAGTGAAGTACATTGGTTAAATTTTCAAGTGTGGTATAAAGCAACTGCACTTGAAATATAATTTCTTGAGCAAACATCTTTTATTATACCCAAATCATATATATAAGACATACTATGTATATAGATGTTTATTATGTCAATGATAAATATAATTATTTAGTACATTGATGTTATACAATAACCAAATGATTGTTTGAAATACAAAGTTGTTGTTTTTTAACAGATTGGTTAAAATTAAAACTTTGTTTAAATCTTTATGATTAAACTGCAGATTGTTGAAGCTCTATGATCAGAATTAGTTAATTGGATATAATGACTCTCTATATTGACTTCTTTATACCTTAATTCTTGCAGGTGTAATTTTCATGTTGAAAGGTATTTCAATGACTGCCATGTAGAAAAATGTAATAGAAATAGTTCTGGAGCCTTAGAAGGTTGCCATTTATGTAAACATTCAAAAAGGTCTGTAATATTATTTAGTTAAAATTAGGGATTGCAGGTTTCATCAACCATACCAATTGGTCAAGTATGTCACTTTACCTCTCGTTATTGGCCCTATTTTCGACTCTCATTGTTTGTAGGTTGTCTATAGTTTAGAACTCCATTTAGCTTTGGAAATATTAGAAAACCAATTCTTATTTTCAATCATAGCAAATGTATTAACTTCTACAATAAACAATACAAATTTAGCTTTGAAATCCAATGAATACACTTTTGAAATCAAATAAATACACCTCTCATTCAAGAATGAACATAGTTACAAAATTTTACGTTTCCTAATACTTCAAAACATACTCCGTAGTTAGAAACTTGTTGCCTTCATTTAGGAGTGTCCAGACGCCTAAAACTTTTTTTCACCTGCAAATCATTTATAAGTGTGTCAGTGTCATTATAAAATTATTTTATAAAACTTGCCAATATGAATTATGTGTAAAGACATCCCTTAAAGTTAGCAATTTCTTCTCTCTGTAGAAAACCTACAATTGCTCAAGAAATACACAATCTATAGAGGACCAAGGTATAATACGTCCACAACATAGCATCATCAAATTAGCACACCACACTATAGACATAATATAGGTTATTTGAAGTCTGTCACACATAGTGTTTCACTTCCAAAATACATACGGCCCCTTGATACAGTTTTCCAAAAAAAACCAACACCGCATTAGATGTTTCCACAAAAACATCGAAACGTTATCTTCACTTCTTTGCAAACCCAATTACAATTTTTCCTGTTTGATTTTAATCTTCAGCTTCTTTCCATTCCCATTGCCTGAAAACTCATCATTGAGATTCCTTTTTATCTTGTCATCCAATTCAACAATCACCTCTCTTTGTGTAGAAGCAACAGGCGAATCTGAGAGCTCAATGGGGGCAGTAACCTAGTATGAATAGAAAGAAACCCCATTTTCAGAATTTCGTAATTCAAACCATTATAAACCTGTTAGGTTGATGAGCATTTTACCTCCTTCTCAGCTGAAATCCGTTTTCCCTTGCCCTTAGTAACAGAAGACTTCTCTCTTATCGAGTTGTCATTTCCTTCCAAGTTTGAACATGAACCAATCTGAAATAGAAAGATTCACTCTAGGCATCATCTTTAGATCTAAGCTGAAAATGAACTATTAAAGATTTTTTTCAAATACCTTCTCTGGAGTACACTCATGGCTTTCATTTGATACCAATTGCTCATGATTTCCTTCATACATTGCCAGCACATTAGGATCTCGAATCATACTAACAACTCCAAGGGAAACACTACATTTATAGGCATTCTCTTCACCTCTCTTCTTTAGCTGTATTTTGAATATTCCGTTTTTGTCAATCAAGCTTTCAATATCTTCTGGAAAACGGGTTGGATCACATGTTTTCTGTTTTTTTGCCAAGTTGCATTATGAAATAGAATGAGTGGTCTACATAGAATAAAATTGCCGTGAATAAAATATAGATGTTACCTTTTGGACTTCAGCCATTAGGGATGCAGAAGTTTTCCCCAGAATCTCAATACATTCCCTATCCCATAGAATAAAATTTCCGTGCCCAGTGTTGTCCATGATGCACACACTGACCTTGTAACTTAATCATTATCAGGTCCATGATGTGTTAGTTTATTTGAAATTCATATTTGTAAAACAATACATTAACCCCAACAACATTATCTCTGGCATCAAATAAGGTGATATTATAGTACCGGTAGACTCCTTCTCCTAGTGTCACGCTGCAAGTAGAACACCTGAACCTCTCCTCCGGTACCAATTTTTTGTGACATGTTGGGCATCTTAGGTAGCACCACTCCCGAGTATTTTTGATAGAAACTATCTCACCAAGCACCCAGTAAATCTCCTCCTATTCATTCAAAATGTTTTTGACACACAATGATTACAACCAATTACAAATGCTTCTTACAAAAATCCCTCTAACACATATTTACCTCATTTGCATTCATCAAATCCTCCATAGTGGTTATGACATCATGACCACTAAGCACATCCCTACTCCCTTCACCTTGTGAGCAGTTTGTGTTGCATGTTTGAGATATGGAGTCATCACCATCCGCCGGAAATCTATTATTTGTTTCATTGTGCAAAGTAAGTTATTGTTTTTTAAAACTTACTATTATTATGAGATAATTATAAGAAAAAAAATTATGAATCGTACTCGCTCTGGAACTCTAAGAATTCGGTTGTGTTTCCATTAATGATGAGTTTGGACACATCAAAAGATGAAGCCACACTTAGGGTGCCTGCTTGTAAATAACATTGTTAAGCAACAGTTGATGATACGTTGATGTTGGTGAAATAGCAAAATTAGATGTTGTAATACCTTGATATCTTTTGGGTCTACACAGTTGAAATATCACAAAAACAGCAATTCCAGGGTTCTCATTAACATAATCCTGATACTGGTTTATATATTTGTTCCATAGAACACAGTCTAGTCTGTTTCCCCTGTAATTTCAAAAAGATTTTAGCCATTAGCATAACAAATTATTTTCGTACCCATAACATTTCTAAATGAAAAAAAAATACTCTGGGTCTGCCACAGTTAGCTCCATTAGCCTTTCTGTCTTCCCATTGATGATATGGGTTTGAACAATGCTTTTATTGATAACCTTCCCAATGATATCTGAAACAGTGGAATGGAAACTGTTGTTAGCATAGTTCCATAAGTTATTTAGTTAGGTCTATAATTTGATTTTACCCACCAATGAGAGTTTTGTCGTTGATAACCCTTTGGGCGTGCAGCATATCGAAAGGATGGAAATCGTAGACCATCATAGGCAATTCTGTCTTCGTATCCTCCCTGAATTGGGTTTTAGAGATGAACTGAATCAGGTAGGGATGATTTGTGGTCTTCACTGTTTGGTAATTGTCTAGAACTAAGAAGTTCCTTATAGCATAGATCTTGTGCTCAGTTATTATAGTCTTGTACATGGCAATCTGTGGTCTCTTGATTATTGCATGAATCCGATCTCCCTATTTTACAGATTCAAAAGTTAACAACGAACGTTTTATCATATAAAATATTTTTGATAGAAGTATAAATTGTACCTCGGCGTCATGCAAAACCATCTCGAGGGTCTCCCCTCCTTTTGAGTGAGGAGGCACCTCATAAGCCCTTACAACCCTAACCTTCAGAGCCCAGGTAGACTTGGTGTGATCAATGTCCTTGATCATAGACCACATCCCCGTTGTAGATGAACCTGCCATTGTTTAGTTTAAACTCTAAATCTGAAATTGCTCGTTCGTGGTGTGTCTAGAAAATCCTTCACTTGGGTATTTATAGTGGCCGAGGAGAGAACAGTTTCTGCCAAAGGGGTATTAACCAAGGGATAATTTCCCAGTTAATCTTTAAATTGGGATTGTGGCGTACAAAATCCTTTTATTGTAATGTAAAGATAGTATAGTGCATTTAATGTTTGTGTGGCTCAAGACTTGCTATGGGATTTTTTTTGTACTTTCAAAGATTGGAATTAATGCTGGAGAGCTTGGTTGTGGTGTGCTCCTCCAACCCACCACTTGGGTATTTATAGCGGCAGATGAGAGCTTCACATAAAGCACTTGGTTATTAACCTATGGTTATATGTATTACTCAATCTTTACTTTGAGATTTTATAGTACAAACATTTAATGTTTGTGTGGCTCAAGGATGTCATTAATTGTTTGTGTGGCTTAAGGCCAATTTTATTGATTATATAAACCTCACTGTTCGAAATTTGAAGAGTGAAAATCCTTGGATTGAGCATTAAATTTGTGTCTTGAACCACACAAAAGCATAATTCAGCATTGGGGAGATGTACGAAAATTAAATATATCATAGTACAACTCATTAAATGTTTTTTGTGGCTCAAGATTCATAAGTACAAATTCTGGTATTTTTTTATTCATAAAAGCATCACTCAACCAAACTGCAGCATTGAATACTGTGCCAGTTTTCAAGCTACCACTGGGCTACTGCAGACCCGTTTCTGCACCCATGGATAATTGGACCCGACCCGTTACTGTACAGTGTTTGGGCGGGAACACTGTACAGTTTTTCTCTTGCTTTTGTATAATAGAAGATGTCATGTTTTGATCCAGAGAAATCTTCTCTATCATCTAATAAGGAGTAAGGGCATGATCAGTTTAGAGAACAAGCCATAAAATGTATTTTTCTATACACTTAATATAAGACCAAGTCACTAAAGATGTTTTTACTCGGACTGTCTTTTTGCTAGCCTGGTCTGGTTTCTATGTATTTTATAACCACGGAAGTCAAGTCTGGTCTGGTTTGTTTAAGTCTGGTCTGGTTTGATCTAGGACTGAAAACAGTTCAAGTACAAACATCCTAATTTCTATATTTTGTGATGAAGTGGTGAATTCTTGCCTATCAAGAGAAATTTGGATGTGAATTAGAAAATATAAGAACTTCACTTCCCTAAATGACTATGGCACCTCAACAAGTCAACAACACATAATATACGTCGTGTGTTTCATTCGTTAGTACAATACTGATTTTTGAAAAACAAGATTTTTTCCCTACCTATGATAGTCAAATCTGCCATAAAATTGGCAGTACGTTCTAATCAAAATAAAAATAAAAGTTTTCCCAGCCATATATAGATGTTACATGTAACTGTCACAAAATTTGCACAATATGAAGTCAATGTCCAAAAAACGTAAAAACTAGAAGTTTTAGTGTAATTAAAAATTTAACGAAAAACTTAGAAATTAAAAATCAAAAATCAGAATTTTCATCGAAATCTAATTTTTAAAACAAAATGCATATGAGAAAGAAAAAATCAAGAAGAAGAAACCTGAAATTTGAGCAAGGACGAAAAGAAGATATGACGATGGTGGAAGAAGCGGAGCATCGCTATGGCAATTGGACCAGAGAAAGAGGTATGTAATGTGTTGGGAATAACAGGATCGTGCTAATATGAGAGAAAAACACTTCTATTACTTTCAAAAATAGAAATAAGAGACATACAAGCTCTAACTAAAAACTCTAAAAAAACTCACATATCTCTCAAGGATATTCACAACTCAAACTTGGTTGTGCTATGATGATCTATGATCTAATTTACTTGATGATAGAAAGACTCTCCAAGCTCTCTATTTATAGCACCAAAACTAGGTACTAGGAAGGTGGAAGGAAGATGTGTTGAAGCTAGGAGGAAGCTTCAATGGAGGTGTGAGGAAGGTGACTCCTAGGTGGGTTGAAGCTTCCTTTGTCATTCTTGGATGTGTAGGAAACTTCATGGATGTTTCTCACAATTGGATTCTTCAATTTGCTTGTATTTGGATATGTCCTGGAAGATGAATTCTTCAATTCTCCCCTTCCAGGCATATTCAAAACAAGCATCCCAACTATGTCTCTGCATAGCTCTAGCTTATCTCGTGTCACCACCTTTGTCAGCATGTCTGATGGATTCTCCTTGGTGTTGATCTTCACAAGTCTCAACAGTTGTTGATCAATCGTCTCCCGTATCCAGTGATACCGAACATCAATATGCTTTGTACGAGAATGGTACACAAAGTTCTTGCTCAAGTCTAGAGCACTCTGACTGTCACAATGTACCTTGTACTCTTTCTGCTGGATCCCAAGTTCTTGGAGAAAGCGCTTTAGCCACAACATTTCCTTACCTGCTTCAGCGGCAGCAATGTATTCTGCTTCTGTTGTAGATAAAGCAACACACTTCTGCAATCTTGATTGCCAAGAAACAGCTCCCCCTACAAAAGTGTAGATATATCCTAAAGTAGATTTTCTACTATCAATATCTCCGGCCATATCATCATCTGTGTAGCCTTCCAAGACTGGATCAACTCCTCCGTAACAAAGACATAATTTCGTGGTACCTTTCAAGTACATGATAATCCATTTGACTACCTCCCAATGCTCCTTCCCAGGGTTAGAGAGAAAACGACTCATTGTACCCACTGCTTGTGCGATGTCTGGCCTTGTGCATACCATGGCGTACATCAAACTCCCAACTGCTGAAGAATAAGGAACTGCTGACATCTCCCCGATCTCTTCCTTGGATGTAGGGCATGTTCTTTTTCTCAACTTGAAATGATTCGCAAGTGGAATACTAACTGGTTTGGCATCATTCATGTTGAATTTCTCAAGTACTCGTTCAATGTACTTCTCCTGAGATAGTCATAACTTGCGATTCTTCCTGTCTCGAGTGATCTGCATCCCAAGAATTTGTTGAGTTGGTCCTAAGTCTTTCATATCAAAAGACTTAGAGAGTTCTTTCTTCAGTTGGTTTATCTTCACTACATCTTTCCCAACGATCAACATGTCCTCTACATATAGTAGAAGAGCAATAAAGGTACCGTCTGGAAGTTTCTTGATGTATACACACTCATCTGCAGTAGTCTTCTTGTAGTCTTGACTCTTCATGCATGAGTCAAACTTCTTATTCCACTGCCTTGGTGCCTGCTTCAAGCCATACAAACTTTTAGATAACTTACACACAAAGTTATCATTTGAGTTCTCAAAACCTTCTGGCTGTTGCATATAGATTTCTTCTTTCAAATCTCCATGAAGAAATGATGTCTTCACATCCATCTGTTCAAGTTCCAAGTTCATACTTGCTGTCAAGCCAAGTATAACTCGGATTGAGGTCATCTTGACAAATGGTGCAAATATCTCATCAAAGTCAATTCCCTTCTTCTGTTGGAATCCTTTGATAACCAACCGAGCTTTGTGTTTCACCACTTGTCCGCTTGCATCCTTCTTCAGCTTGAACACCCATTTGTTTCTCAGTGCCTTCTTCCCTTTAGGAAGTTCTACGATCTCATAAGTTTGATTTTTCTGCAGAGATTCTAACTCATCCTGCATTGCTATTAGCCATTTTTCTTTATCCTTATGAGACAACTTCTTGAAAACTCTTTGGTTCTCCATCTTCAGTTAACAAAAGATATTCAGATGATGTGTACCTTGTTGATGGTATATGCCCTCGTTCAGATCTACGAACAGTAGGAACCATATGAGAAGAGCTACCATCATCTGTGTCTGGCGAGGTGGGTTGTGTCTCCCCTTGCTCTGCACTATCTTCTATTTCCTCATCATCATCATCATCATCATCATCATCATCATCATCATCTTCTTCTTCTTCTTCTTCTTCTGAGTTATCTTCATGCACTTTGTCCTCTTCGGGTGCTTCATTTGAAACTCTAGCACCCTCATTTGACTTCCGAGACATTGTGGGTTTTTCAATGTCTTCTATTGTCAAATCTTCGTGGAACACAACGTCCCTACTTCTGAACACCTTTTTCTCCTTAGGATCCCATAACCTTTATCCAAACTCTTCATTTCCATAGCCAACGAAAATGCATGGGATAGTTCTTGCATCGAGCTTCTGACTGAGCTCTTTGGATACATGTGCATATGATGAACAACCAAATACTCTAAGATGTGAGTATGTAGGATCCTTACCTATCCATAGTCTCTCTGAAACTTCAAAGTTCAGTGGTACTGAAGGTGATCAGTTGATAAGATAGCATGCGGTGTTGACTGCTTCTCCCCGGAATGACTTCGGAAGTTTAGCCATATTTAGCATGCTCCAGACACGCTCCATGATAGTCTGGTTCATTCTTTCAGCAACGCCGTTGTGCTGAGGGGTGCGTGGTACTGACTTCTCATGTTGAATCCATATTATCTGCAATATGCATCGAACGCCTTGGATGTATATTCGCCTCCATTATCAGATCGGAGACATTTCAACTTCTTTCCTGTTTCACGTTCCACCAAGATGTGAAATGTCTTGAAGCTCTCAAAGACCTGATCCTTCGTCGTTAGGAAATACACCCACACTTTCCGAGAAGCATCATTGATAAAAGTCAGAAAATATCTGCTCCCACCGATTGATTCCACCTCGAAAGGACCACAAACATCGGAGTGTACCAAACTTAACAACTCCAATCTTTTAGTTGAAGTAGAACTAAATGATACTCTATGTTGCTTAACAAACAGACAATGACTGAAAGGACCCAGTGCAACGTTCTTGTCGATGTTGATAAGGTTCTTCTTCATCAAGGTAGTCAACCCTTTCTCACCGATGTGGTCGAGCCTCAGGTGCCACAGATTCTGAGAAGTCTCCTCTGCAATGTTTAGGCTATCCGTACAAATCCTCAAATGGGTTTTGTACAATGTGCCACAAACATGTCCTTGAGTGATTGTCAAAACGCCCTTTGACATTTTCCATGTGCCCCTGCTAAAGTGGTTTTCATACCCCTGTTCGTCAAGACATACCATTGACAGGAGATCGAGCCGAAGGTCTGGAACATGTATGACATCCTTCAAAGTGATTGTGCTCCCATTACTTGTCTTTATTTGTACATCACCAATTCCAGCTATTACAGATGAACTCGAATTATCCATCTTCGCCGCTCCATAGTCTCCAACTTTGTAAGTTGTGAAGTAGTACATGTGGGGAGTGACGTGGTAAGATGTTGCAGTATCTACCACCCATTCAGTGTCCTCTCTTGAGACGTGCAGACATGTTTCATCATTGGTAGTATAGTACGCTACATCACCTGAGATTGTGATGAGCGCTTCACCACCCTTGTTCTTCGTTTGTGAATTGCTCTTCCCTCGCTAGTTGACTGATTTGAATCTAAATGACAATTAGTTAGTTATGGGATACTTTGATTATGAATTTGTTTTATATTTGTCTACAAGTCTGAAAATTAAACTTTTAGGTGGATATGGTGGTGCAAAAAAAGTATTAAAATTGTTCAATAGTTGATACTATAGTATCATAAATCTGGATGGTGCAAGAGTATCATAGGTTTTTGTAACATTAGTGATATCACTAATTTATATGATATCAAAGTGTCGTTAAGTATACCAATGCAAATGTATCACTATATTTTATGATACTAACGTGTCACAATTTACTGACACTTTTTAGTGACACATTTTTTAGTGTCAGAGTTCCAACCATTCGTTGACACTTTCGTGGTGTCACTAAAACTTTTAGTGACACTAATTTAGTGTCACTATAGACCATTTTTCTACTAGTGGCTTCTCTAGCAATTTGTAGCAATTCTTCTTCATGTGACCCTCTATACCGCAATAGTGGCAGGTATAAGAAGGTTTCCGGCCATCTGATGATCTCCCCCGACTTTTGCCTCTGCTTTGCCACTTTCCTCTACTGTTTTTTTGTTGCTTTCCTTGTGATCTTCCTCAATTCTCTGTCACAAGGGCATGAGTCTGATCTGTGCTCATGTCTTTCCTCCTTGCCTCCTCATTGAACAATGCATCCTTGACCACAGACATGGTAAGTTTGCCATCTGGGGCTGAGTTGTTGAGAGTAACAACTAGTGTCTCCCAACTATCAGGAAGGGAACTACGATGTAGTAGAGATTGCATTTCATCTCCAAGTGGCATTTCTACACTAGATAGTTGATTTATCAGACTCTGAAATTGACTAGTATGTTCAGCAACAGAAGTTCCACTTTTGAGCTTCATATTGACACGACGCCTCATCAGTGGGGCCTTGTTCCTAGCGGCCTTAGCCTGGTACATATCTTCTAACTTCTTCCAAAGGGCATAAGCATCGGTTTCTTATGCAATATGGTGGAAGACATTATGGTCAATCCATTGTCGGATTTGACCAATAGTTTTTCTATTAATTCTCTTCCACTCTATTGACTTGGGTGGGTCAGGATTAATACCTTTCATCTCTATTGGATCAAAAAGGTCTTTACAGCTAAGGAAATCTTCCATCCGAGGTTTCCATAGCGTGTAGTTGGTAGTCGTGAGCATACTCATAGCTCCGGAAGATGAAGTTGACTCCTCAAAGGTCATTTTCACCTTCTAAATAGTTTTGATTTTCCGTTTGAGAAAATTCGGAGAAGAATTTTGAAAAACGGACAGCACCGTTGCGTCCGGAACGACCGAAAATGGTGGGGTAGACACTTTCGGGGTCAAAATACAATTTTCGAAAAATTATAGGTGGAAATTATAATTTTCCAAAAATTGAGGGACCAAACTGCAATTTTTAAAAATTTAAAACTGACCGGTGATGTGGCAGGTGATGTGGCAGTGATGTGGTGCTGACTGGATCTGACTTGGCAGCTGACTGGGCACTGACGGAAGATGACACTGGACTAATGACGTGGCGAATGACGTGACAGGAACTACACTCGTGGCGCTGATGTGTCACTGACACAGCTCTGACTGGATGATGACGTCAACGATGACGCCAGCCGTCTTCAAACTCTGGCATGCGTACTGTGCGTGATGACGCACGTGATGACGCAGACACTTCCAGCCGGCGATTGAGCGGCGCGTACGGTAGGTTCCGGTGGCCCAAAAAATCCCCCAAAATACCAGTTTTCTCCTCGCGACGAGACGAATCCAACGATGTGTTCAGATTGCAATTCCGAGCAAAACTGAAAAACACAAATTTTCGGACAGTAGAATTATATCTGAAAATTCTGGGGGGAAATACCAACAGCTCAACCAGGCTCTGATACCATTTATTGGGAATAACATGATCATGCTAATATGAGAGAAAAACACTTCTATTACTTTAAAAAATAGAAATAAGAGACATACAAGCTCTAAGTAAAAACTCTCAAAAAAACTCACATATTTCTCAAGAATGTTCACAACTCAAACTTGGTTGTGCTATGATGATCTATGATCTAATTTACTTGATGATAGAAAGACTCTCCAAGCTCTCTATTTATAGCACCAAAACTAGGTACTAAGAAGGTGAAAGGAAGATGTGTTGAAGCTAGGAGGAAACTTCAATGCAGGTGTGAGGAAGGTGACTCCTAGGTGAGTTGAAGTTCCCTTTATCATTCTTGGAAGTGTAGGAAACTTCATGGATGTTGCTCACAATTGAATTCTTCATAATGACCGTGACAAAGAAGAAAGCAGAAATGGGGAACCACGGGGAAAGAGATGTACAATAGAGATTAGTCGATACAAACATAAGATTAATTTTTATTTATTATATATGGAGTAAGAGAGTACAATGGTAATAGAAAGTTTTTTTAGGAATTATAAATATAGAGACTTATTAATGCACTTTAGTTAGCTTTCAAAGCAACTACTCTGAAATATATGAAAACCCAAATGATATCACACCATTTTCACAAATAGAACTAAAGCATGTTTTTTTCAAAACATAGGAGTTAATGTTTAAAATTTCATAAAATAAAACTTTTTATTTGTGAGTAGATAAAAATACCTTTATAGCTTGTATCAACCATTGGACCGCCGACCATCCCGAAAAATTTCTGTCAGTCGGCGTTACTTATTTGTCGCCAGAATGCCGCAATCGGAGTTTACCACCGTCACTGTCAGAGTTTGCTGCCACCGGACTGCCGTCATCAACAAGCTCACATTGGTTATGCAATGGATCTATGAACAATTAATTAAATTAATTAATTGCATTAGAGGTAGAAATGTAATATTTAACAGCATCTTCAAAGCAAAAACGTCAACGGTGTATACGTGGCATGAGAGAGAGCCAATTAAAAAATACTTGTAATAACTAAAATATTTATCTCCTTATTTGAACGGTCTTATATGTTTTTGATAAATTTTTGTCAACAATGTCAACAGCAGTTTCTACATCTAGACATTGTGTTTGACATTGTAGAGAAAAAATTATCGAAAACACATAAGACCGTGAAAAGAAAGAGAGATAAATGTCATATATATAATCTTTTGTGTCTCTCTCAAATGTAACATGTGCATGCACATCGTAGCATTGGAGATACTCTAATCATTTAAGGAAGGTAAAAAATGTGAACTTATTTTAAAAAGATGACTATATATTTTAGTTGAATAATTTCCTCATGATATCACTTATCACCCATTCGGACACTAGAGAATTTATACCAGTATAACATGGACAGTTTATATTAACACGAAAGTACGAAACACTTTATTACAACAGGAACGACTAAGAAATAAAATGCGACTATATTTTTTCAAATCCGAATGGAACTGGGTCGTGAGATATCCATATTATCAAACTTCTGCTACATAAATGAACCCAAATTACTTCAAAGGGTATTTCCGTTGGAGATAGTTGCTTGGAGCATTTACTTCTTGGTCTCCATCATCAAGTTCAGGTTTCACACCTTTCTTTCTTCATACTCTTCTAGATTCATCTGTGCTTCAAGCATTCGCTCTTTAATCTGATGATCTTGAGCGCATGATTTTCATTACAGACAATTTGATTGCATTCCAATTCTTCATTTTTTTTTTGTTGCTAAAATTTTCGTGTTTTCTGACGAGTGAGCTCTTATAATCCTCACCTTAGAGGCGATGACATATACCAGAGTCGTGAGGTGTGTGTTTCATAATGTTTCTAATAGTTTTGTTCTCGTCCTTTCCCCCCTTCATATAATGTCATTACGAATTTACACGATTGCGTGTGAATTGCAGGCCTGCTTCACCGCCAAAGTCGGAATCCCCAGTCAGGGCTCTTAGGTCGAGATCGAGATCATTATCTGCTTCCAGAAGGAGTCGTTCGAGGTATTTGCTAATAACTCTGGAAATGTTTACTGTATTTCAGTGTTTATGTTTGAGCCGGTGTAAATGAAGGAAATCTTGAGGGCATATATGAGGCATCTGTTTAAGTGTCTGATTTCGGCCCAGCTCGCCTAAAAATAGCTGTCCTTGTCTCCTACTATCACTATCTTGAACAACAAAGGAAGCCAGCCAACCCTTTGTACAAATCCTCTCTATCTCTCTCTTATCACTCACCATGAATGAAGGCAGTTGCACAAAGCAAGAAAGAAGGAAGAGGGGAGTTACTGAAGCTCTCACTGTATACACTCTCTGTATTCACACCACCCAAAATATGGAAGCAAATGACTTATATACATAGGGTGATAGACTGATAGGGATGCATAGCATCTAGGAAGTAAGGCTCACATGTATTTGCCTTACCACCTACTAAATATTGCCTTAAGTTGGGGTAGAAAATCAATGAGATAAGGTGGTGATGAGTTAATACAGAGGATAGTGACAAAGGGTTGGGCCGGTATTGGGCCTTTTTTAAAAACGACCAAAATAATATTTGGGCCAAAACTATTAACAGCATACATGGAAAAAAGTAAAAGTTTTTATGGATCCACTCCATGAATATGTTGTTTACAAGTCTCTCTTCTTTATTTTGCACAGAATATTTGAGGTACAAACAATAAAGTATACATCTTAGGCTAGTTTCCAAATGAGTGTATGGACGTAGTACTAGAAGTGATTGGAGCTATAAGAAGATAGAGAGGTTTACTGAATGGAGATTGACCTAAATTGTCAATTTGGAGCTATTAGATTTACATTATTATGAAACTCCTGATTGCCACATGTACTTGAGCACTTTCAAGCTATAGCTGATAGACTAGTGTAGGTTTTTCAGGGCGTGCTGAAAAGCTGCTTTTCGAACTTTTTGGTTGTAGTTAGCTTTTAGTAGCTAAAAATTTCCTATTGGAAAAGGTTGTAGTCATTTAATAAAAGCTCGTTAGAGAAAACAATCAAATTAAAGAAAACTTAGCCATTTAAAAGAAAGAAGATTTAGCCATTTTAAGAATCAAATTAAAGAATCAAACGATTGTAGTCCGTTAAAAAGTCATGTTTCATAACTGACAGTATGTCTATGAGCACATTAAGGACCTATAATCATGTGTGTCATTTGATATGGAACTATGGTCCTTTCCTTAGAATTCAAAATGAAACATAAGCTTTATTACTCCAGGAGCTGTGATAATGAAGAACCCGGCAACCCTGGAAATAACCTTTATGTGACTGGCCTATCAACAAGGGTTACAACTAGTGATCTAGAGAAGTTCTTTAGCAGCGAAGGGAAGGTATGCTTCTTTAATATTTGAAGAACAATAGATTAGTTTCCTTTTTTCTCAAGGAAAAAAGAAAATAAGATAACTTCACCTTTATGAGTTGCAGACTTGCAATAGAGTGAAGTCAATCGAAAGGTTAAGAAATTTCATGGTTTCTCTCTTACTGGGCTGTCTTGGTTAGGAACCTCAACAATCATAGTGTGACTTAGCTTATACTTCTTGTTCAGATGAAAATATTGTGAAATACAGTACTCACTCTGTCTGTTTTTGTTAGATACACTTCAAATTTTTCTTTGTCCCAGAGTTATGTATACTTTCCTAATTCAAACTCTAATAACTTTTTTACTTTGCAATTTATACTTGCTTTGCCGACCCCAAATTCTTTTGGGATTAAGGCTTGGATGTTGTTGTTGTTGTATCTAACATTTTACCTTTTTAACTTTTGATTCCCACTTTACTTTTCTTCATTTTAAAATGTCAAAATTGCTAAAGAACAAGAGCTTTCTAGATTTTCTTAAAAACCATGTCAAACCTGAATCTATCTTGCATTATGGTGGCTATGATTTTGTTTGAACTTCACACACTAACATAATATTTCTGTGTTTGACCCATCAAAAAGTGTTAGGCCTACATGATATTTTCTAGAGTCCTAGGTAACCAGGTAGGGCATACTCTTTTTCTGTGAACTAGAAGTCAAACCCCACATGGAATCACAAAATTTTCTTATATAACATTTGCATTTGGTCTAAATTGAGGTTACTTGTGAAGCATGGCAAGATTTCTCCCATCCAAAAAGAGAAACAGTATTGAACCAACTATACAATTGCAGGTTATTGAGTGCAATCTCGTCACTGATCCTCGAACCAAAGAGTCTCGTGGTTTTGGGTTTGTCACAATGGAAACAATTGAAGATGCAGATCGCTGTGTTAAACATCTTAACCGCTCTGTGCTTGAAGGTCGGCTTGTTACTGTAGAGAAGGTAGGCTTTGTCTATAAGATCTTCAACAGTGATGTTTTGCACCATGGCTGTGTTTGAGTTATTTGTCAACAACTGAATAAATATTAGTTCTAGCTTCTTCTTATCTTTAGAATGGTTGTCTGATAAGTTTTGGCGGCAGGTTCGGTTTGTGTAACTACATCGAATATGAGCTCTAAGCTCGAAAGCCTAAATCGTTGAACCTATCCTCTCGCAACCTGCGTGCTCCGTCGACATTTCGAACTGATCAAATGAATCTGCTTTTCCCAAGAGGGATACATGCCCTTAACCTCTTCATCAGTTACAGTCATTGACATTGTAAACACAACTCATTTTGCTACATTTTTTTGGTTTTGTTAATACTATGACCTTTGAAGGTTTGTATCTTACTCCAAATATGAAACAAAAATAATGGCATGGATCTAGTATTAACATTTGAAATTAATTTATTCCGTTTCATTTTGTTTGTTATTATATTTTCATGTTTATGTTGGAAATTGAAAATGGATTTGAGGGAGATAACCATTTAGCTTTAGTCCTGTAGCTAGAGCAGAAATCTGTATATCTGCAAGGGTATTATGTCCTCATTTTTGCAACAAATTCTAGTGCTGTGAGTCTAGCTTTGCAGATGAGAGACTGGCTAGTTATAAATATTACCCTCTTTGTCCCAGTGGACTTCGCCAACTTTCCTTTTTTGTTTGTCCCAAAAACTTTGCCACTTTCCTTTTAAAGTAATGAATTTGTGGTTCAACTTATTTCTCTCTACTTTGCACAAACCTCAGTCACACAGTTTTTACTTTTTTCTTTATTCTACACCCAACACAAAGTTGGCAATGTCCAATGAGATGGAGACAATATTTTTTATGTATCTTGGTCTCTTTTTTTGCACTAAGGGGAGATGACTTATCTTGATGCCATCATGCAATTTGATTGTGTGAACAGGCTAAGAGAAAACGGAGGCGGACTCCAACTCCAGGAAGATATCAAGGTGTGATAAATAAACGAGGTATGAATGTGCTTAGAATCTATATAAAAATAATAGATGTGTTTGTAAGCATTTATGTTGTAAATTTTTAGTTGAGATACTCTTTAATAGATGTGCCTTTTACGCTTGCTTAAAATTTTCCACATTTGGCCCTAAACTATTAGGTCATTCTCACATTTAATTCCCTTATTCCCTACGTTCTGTTTTCCCATTTTTGCTGTGTGATAATGAATTTCTTGTCATTATCAGTCCTATCTAATTATTTATGGCAAAATTCTAATACAAAAGATACTACATCTGTTCTTTTTAATTGCAACCGTTTGACTTTCACATTTGACAAGCATAACTTTGACTCTAATTATATTAAATTATGTATTATTAAACATTATAAAAATTTAATATTTTGGAAATTGACATTAATAGAAATTTTAATGTTTTATACTAGTAAATAATAATTTGATTATATATTAGTAGAAAATCATGGTCAAAGTAAGATGTGTAAATAGTGCAAAAATCAAATATTGCAACTATTAAGGAATGGAGGATGTACGAAGTTTAGTTGGTTAGAAGGACCAAAAGTTGGTATGCAAGAGTTCAAAAAAGGAGAGACGGGGTCCAAAAGCAAGACTGATCTTACTGTTGGACCAATCAATAATATAGTTGTTTACTTGTTTGTACTTATGCAGGTTCTGATGGAAGACGATCTCGAAGTCACTCACCCCGCCGACGGCAAGAGAGGGATTCATACTATGGGGATCGACGTGGTAGGCCACGATCACCATATAATCAGAGGGCTGATGACTCTGGTTCATATAGAAGGCACCAGGACATGTCCACCTCCCCCAGAAGAAAAGACTATGCAAGAGGCCGTTGACGACTGTTGACTCGGTCATAGTTCTCCAACTTCCTGGATACCTTTAGGTGGTTTATCATGTTTGAATTGTATTTAATATTCCTAATGCTACTTGGTTCATATGTGAGTGGGCTCTATTCAATTGTGATGAATTGAACAATGGAACCATTTTAGTAGGTGTAGACAAGGATAAAAACATCAGTATTTATGTAACTATTGATATTCTGAAATTATATTGATTCAGTGGATATTTTGAAGGAACTATATTGTATACTCTGTATGTTTTATTTACTTCCGGTAATGATATTATTAATATTTCATACTTTCCCGACATTTCTCAAAGTATTTCACTATTTCTGTATTTTTTTTCTTTTAGATGCTTTTGCATAATTGCATGCATGTCTTTGGCGCATTTTGTCATTTTTCAGAGTTTTAGAGAGAATTTGAGATCACCTGTTGCATTTTGTTAACATTTTGGTAATGCAATTATGCGATGCTATTGTTTTGATACAAGTCCAAGTGCATTGGAACTAGTCAAGACTAGTGTTGATGCCTTGTTTAGTTGCCCAATGGGTGCTTTGGAGAACTTGGTATAGACCGCTAACTATTGAAGAAGAAGAGGATCGTGGATTGGTATTTGAAGATCTTACAGCAGTGGTGCACTTCACGATGATAGGACAAGTCGTGTACAATATGGCAGTGGAGATCATCTTAGTTAAGGAAACAACAAAAATGCAATGCTTGTTTTACACCTTTTTCTCATTTTATATACGAAGTATTGGTTAAAAAATGGGAAAATAACTTTAAATAATACTCCCTCCGGTCCTAAATAAATTTCACACTTTGACTTCACACAAATGAAGGAAATAAATTTGACTTTACTATAGAGTACACTGTTGTGACATTGTTTGACACTGTTTTGATGTAGATAATTTGCCAAATAAGGAAGGGAGAAGAAGTGTGAAGTTTATTTTGGACCTACCCAAAAAGGAAAGTGTGAAGTTTATTTAGGACCGGAGGGAGTACAAACTATCTTCCATGAACCAGGAGTAATTCGTACTTTGGAATCGGAAATTACTTTTAATTATACCAACTATTTAAATATAGAGCAAAAGTGATATAAAGCAATTTTTCAATGAAAATGCAGTTATTTAATTCATCAAAAATTAGTAATAAAATATCAAATAAGTGATTGTATTTTCAAATATCATTTATTTGATAATTTTCTATTAATTTTAAATGTCTTAAATGATTGGATTTCTTATCGAAAAGTGACTCCATATTATTTTTGGTTTATACTCAAATAGTTGGTATTATTAAAAAGAGAACTCTCAAATAGGCCCTCCTACTTTGGACAATTTCTCAATTAAGCCCTCACACTTATTAATCACCCAATCAGGTCCCTCAACTAACCAAAACGACTCAATCAGGCTTTTTAGCCGGTGGAGTGCCGATTAGCCCGTTACATGCTGAGCTGGAATCCCGTGTGGCCCTCCCTCACCGGGCACTTAAGTTGACGTGGCTAACCCCCTTTTAAACCTTCTCCTTCGCAGACAACTAACCCTTTTGAACAAATAGATTCCGTTCTCAGACCTAGCCTTAACGAAATAAGAATGCTAAGAGGAGTTTGTTAGAAGCGGGAGTTCAACCAAAGTACATCGAAGGACTTGGTGTTAGCTTCGTTGTTGGGACGCTGGAGTTGAATCGAAAAGGTGTGAAGCCCTGTAACCCTGTAACGCGAGACTTCAGTCAAAGAGGAAGGAAGCTCTGAAAGGTACGTTGTTGTAGTTGCGACATTTACAATGTAGGACAGAAGAGTTGTGGTTTGGTCGTTCTTGATGCATTGCCCTTTTGTAGTGTTTACAGTTTATATTGTGCTTTTTGGTTTAATGTTGCTTTAAGATTACTTGTGCACTTAAATTTTGTATATACATTTTCATGTTTTATACATTTGACCCTTTTAAACAAATGACTTATTATGTGTTTTGCTTGTAATGTTGATCCATCTTATGATGATAGAACCCTAAAGCTGCCCTTTTGGATTACATTAGGCTGAATTTGTGTTGTTCAATTTATGTACATTAGGCTGAAGTTAAATGATGCTTTTTGTTGTTATATTTGTAGAATGTTTGAGACAGTCAAACTACTAGTACACCATGGGGGGAAATTCAGCCGTGATGCACAGAAGAGGTATGTTGGAGGGGTAGTTGATTGCGTACCTGCAGATCCTGATGTCATAAGCTATCCCCACTTGAAGAAGTTCTTAGAAGGTCAAAGCAATGGCTCCATTAGAGGTCTATACTTCAAAACACCAAGTGTCAATATGAACTCCTTACATGAGTTGATTGATGATCAGCCTGCACTAAAACTAATAGAATTAGCAAGAAGTTGTGGGATGTGTGAGATATATGTAGACCATGCAGAGGATGAACTACACACCCAAGGACTTGATCATGAACCAAATGCTGATGTAGGTTAGCCAGAAGATCATGAAGATGAACTGAATGATGATATAGATGTTAGCAGTGATGCCCCATCTGATAATGAGAGTGATGGTGAGGAAGTAAATAAAACTTCTAATTCTGAAGCATACAATGAGGATGAAGAAGAAGAGCTGCTACATGATGTGGAAGTTCTGAACACCAATTCCACACCAATGAGAGATGATAATGTGGAAGGAATGGCCCATAATAAGACTCCTGAGCATGGGCTTGAATCTGATAATGAGGAAGATACCACTGAATATGACTCATCTAACCCACCTAGCTTGCATTCAGATGAGGAAGATGCAACTATGTCCAAAAGGCCAGGTAACTTAAATGGATCCTATAACCCAGATTCTGATCCTCCCCATTTTAAGGTGGGGATGTTGTTTGAGGATGGTAAGCAATTTAAAAGTGCTATGGTTAGGTATGCTGTGTATAATAAGAGAGATATAGTGTAACATCCCAAAATCCGATCTAGCTGAAATTATTAAAAAATATGATAGTAATGGGTAGATTTTGTTTCTAGACATTTTAAGTTACTATTTAAAATAATACTACATGTTAAGGAAAGTAAGGTTAAATGAGCCGTAAATTTAAACCAAATTTTGATTTTCCATTATAATGAAAAGTAATCGTGTTAATAATGCATAAGGTTAAAATAAACGTAGATAACATAACAAAGCAAAGATTAAAACTCAGGACCTGGCTAAACAATTAAAAAGGTCAATAAATGAATATACATATAGTATATATATGCATGGGTTAGTGTAATTTAAACATTTGGCAAAATCATGCACTATAGACAAAGCATATATATAAACATACACCTCAAGCTAGCCCATGCATGAATATATAAACAAACAAATGTATGAATATATTATATAATATGCATGATTGAACACTTGGCCTATTGGCCATACTACGTACCAAAAACATGTGGCAACTTTACTCTTCTTATAAGGACACGAAGCACTTAAATGAAGAGTATAAAACACAACAAAACTCTTTCAAAAAGGATTTACTGTACACGTAGAAGGCCACTCGGCAAAGCCATGCAGGAGATTACAAAAAAAATATATAGTTTAAATATACACACTACCTACACCCGGAAATTAGGTTAAAGAAAAAAAACAGTCTTTGTGATAACAGTCAAAAGCAAGCTACGGAAGAAGAGGAAATACAAAAATAAGGGAAAAGGAACAAGAGACGGTGAAGGAGGAATTCTAAGAGTCCTAGCTAAATCTAGCTTATTCGTCTCCTAATTAATAAGGTCAGTACTATAATACGACATTTGATTTGTTAATCAAGTGTCATTGTTTTTGTTATTCAAAGGAAGGATACTAATTAGATTGTGCATGTAGATTATATTACTTCGTATGTATGTATATGTTTAAAAGGAGATTAAATATAAGTCTTCTAGTATATATATGATTAGAAGAACATGTGTATGTGACCGTATGTTTAGTGACGATGCTTTGTGATTATTATATTTTTCAATAACATATGAATTTATGAAATATTTTGGAAAAGAGCCTTACTCCAAGATTTAGACGATAGTTTTGGGTACCTCTCTGTAAAGATTTGGGTACGAGTTGGTTTTACCGACTACGACTCCTCTGGTATGCTAGCATATGGCCCAGGTCAGAGTCCTCTGAATCTCTGAATCTGAACTCTGCTATGTTATCTGATGATCCTTGTGATCTGAAGATCTCTGTTTTCTGATGGGTAAAGTAACTAGAACTTTGTTTGAAATTACTTTATCTGTACCCTTAGCTAGAGTCTGGTCCTATGAGTAAAGGCTGAAACTAAATGAATAAAGAATTGAGTATTTAGAAAACTTGATCCTTCGATTACGAACAAGAAGTAGATATGATTATATATGTTTCTGTTCTATGATTATTTCTATGTGAAACTAAATTGCCTTAATCTCTTTTGGAAAAGATGCACAAATTCTGAATGAATCTGAATTAAAGTAAAACGTGGGGTAAAGATTATATAAAATCTTTACAAGTATTTTCGAATATGAACTTTTGACAAAATTCTCAAGATTTATGTTACATGTTTCTAGATGTTTTAATTACGTAAATTGACTATAATGATATTAGGTGACAACTCCGGTACCTTTCTAAAAAATGGGGTACCGTACCTACAATTCATTTGATTGGACCACACCACTTTATCATTTTTAATTTAGATTTAAATAATTAAACTGCTACATTCTCATTGGTCCATGTGGACAAAGGTATGGTACCTTATGGGTACCATAGAATCTACCATGATATTAATGCTACTTTGTCATTTATTTGAGTAGAAAATATAATCACATGTTATATTATAGTACCACTCAGCAATTCATTGATGAGCGTGTAGTTTTTCTACACGTAGGTAAACGAGAGATTCAAGTGAAGCCCCGGGACAAGGAGACATCTGGACAAGACTGCATTGCATGTGTTTTGTTTTATTATCATTTTTTCTTTAAAGTTAGTACCATCAACACATGCAAGTTTAAAAAGATAATAATGTGACTTTATTAATTCGAGTTTTAGATAAGTCCAATGTAATTGAACAATTATTTTGTGAACTATATGGGTAACAAATATATTAAAGTTTTTTTTCCCAATCAACTTATAATTAATTAGGTTTATTAAATAAGTCTATGACTAGACTTTTAATTATTTTATATATTTACGAATCTAT